CCCCAAAACCCCAAAACCCCAAAACCCCGCTAATCTCCTTTTTGCAAAAAGTTATATAGATAAAAATCAATTCTCAAATTAATTATTCAGAAAATATGATAGATAAAGAGGACTAAAAATTTGTCAAGTAACATCTTCTCAAAGTTGTATAATCACCAGAGTAAAGACTATTATAACTACAAAAGACAACATTACCATTAATGACTGCTGCTGCAATAACTAGTATTTTGTATACTAGTATGGCATCTTTTTACCCGATTTATATGGCAACTAACTTTCCACAATTAAGTTTAACTCATTTTGGATTTATACTCGCAATATATGAAATAGCTAACTTGATAGCATCCATATTTCTTGGAATTTATATAGGCAGAGTGAAGCGTAAGAACCTGATAATCTATTCAAACATCTACCTTTTTATTGCTACTTTAGCATTTACAACCTTAGATTTTCTAGGACCAACTTAGGATATGACATTTTTTATTTTGAGCTTAATTTTCAGAGTTATACAAGGTATTGCCAGCGCAGCTATCTAGATTTGTGCTTATTCCTTTGCTACCTTCGAGATGAATCATGATAAGGATACCTATATTGGTTATGTTGAAATGGCACTTGGTGTTGGAGGTATTCTTGGCCCAGCAATCGCAAGTTTCATATTTGATTTTGTTGGCTATGTAGGTACATTTGTATTCTTTAGTGGTATAGTCTTTGTTGGTATCATACAATCAAAGATTCGAATTCCAAATACCTTAAATGAAAGGACTGCTAAAAATTAAAGTATGTAATTAGATAATGATTAGACTACTGAGATTGAGAAGCAAAATCTTAAGTAATTAGAATATTAAGTGAAAATATATTCTGAATTAAAATACATTGATTTCATATAGAATTCTGAGTGCTTCATTATACTGTTAACCGCATGCTTATCGGTTGTATTTACTGTCTACATTGAAGCCATTCTTGCAATTCAATTATACAAATACTATGGGGTTCAGCAAAATTTAATTGGTCTCTTCTTTTTATCTGCATCAATTCTATATGTAATTGGTGCACCATTGGCTTCATGGCTAGCCAAATACATTCACAAGAGGTATATCATTTTACTCGCACTGATCATCATGGTATTTTAAAGCATACTATAAGGTCCTAGCTAAATTCTAGGACTACGTCAATCTCTTTGGATGGTGGGTATCGGTGTTTTTTTATTAGGATTAGGACTTTCCTTAGCTTTGGTCCCTCTATTGTCAGAATTAATTGAAGTGCTTGAAAAGAAAAACAGATTTTATTCAAATCAAATAAGTGAT